TCGAGCATAACAATTTGAAGAAGACGTGATTAGCCATGAAACGATACTTTTAGTGCGTTTTTAAAATATATTTGAATTTATAGGCGCATCGAAAATCCATTCAAAAATGGATAACGTTTAAGTACATGTACTTGCAGGTACAGCAGTAGTCGTGGGCCCTCGCGGACTGGGCACATAGTATGAGCCACTCTGGCCCGTTTTGATCAGATGTCGGGGCATTTTCCCTCATTAAGTCGGTAGTAGTCAGTTCAAAACCTATTCAAGGACGATCCTCTTAGCCACTCAAGAAGGGGAAGTGGGAATCGAACTGCTCGCTTAGAGATGGACATTGCCACCTTCAGCGAGATTTGCTTCTTCGGACAAGCAAAGTAGAATGAAGTCAGAACTGTGCGAGTATTTAGTTGGATCGACCGCTCGACGGATGAACGATGAAAGGCTGGAGTCATCCGCACCAAGTCCTCAGGAAAATACCCTTCCGTGCCAAAAGGCGGTCTCTATCCGGTGAAAAGGAAGTCGATATTATCACACCATGAATCTAAGCGGATGCTGGGGAAGACCCGGAGCGATAGTAAAGAAATTCCACTATGGTGGGAAGTAAGTACAACTGATCAACTTCAAAATAAATTTTTAAAATGAAAAAAATGGTCAATAAGAATTGCTTTATACTTCTCCAATCTCGTGTTTTCTGCAGGTCTGGTGGACGCCTATCATAAGAAGTGACCCAAAATTGGCATTCATTATCGAGTCGACATCCATTTTGCGCAAGTCCTCGTAAAAATCTCCGCCCTCTTAATCGCGGATTATGTGCTGAGCGTCACAGCTGCAGCAGACAGTAGGCAAAATTAGATTTCTCTGTTTCCGGATGCGCCGATTATGGAGTGAACGTTAGCGCAGAGGAACGTTTTCATGCAACAAACAGCACCAACTCAGGAATATATGACATCCTCAATCATCGGCACCGACAATCGTTCCCACTCTCTCCGGCTAAAAAAAGTTATCCTACGCCGGAAACGCCATTTTAAGAAGCATAAAAGCCGGCATGACTTTCAGTCGGCTGTAATCGTCTGCATTAAATCAGCCGGATTTTTTATATGAAAATCGATCTGAAGGTGTGCGCCACTGTCGCCCAGAAAAAACTTTTTTGAGGTGCGTAGAGTCGGCCTATACCGAAGCCGAATAACTTTAATCTAAATAGGAAAGATGAAACCGGTAATAACGAATCCCGGACGCTTACTCTGGGATCGACTGACAACCTGAATATATTTTTGAAGTTGACGAAAATCCAACTTAGAGGAAGTAGCCGTGTCGTGAGAATGTTTGATGAATGCTTGTTAAAGAAACTGTCATACAGGGAGATCACTTTAGGTGCTCGTCGCCGTGAAGGACGAAAAAAACGACACATCAACTTGAACTAACGAGTCCTGAGAGACCCTGACAAATGGAGTGGCAGGCTTGGCGACGTCCCGCGACAGCTAGTATAAGAGTAGGATATGCAATGGATGAAGCAGTAAATGTGGCATCTGAGAAACCCAGGTAC